TTGTTGTTATTTTCATTTTTACGTTTGGTTTTTTTTTTCTTCTTGCCTAACAAAGTTTCCGCTGCAACCTTGTTCACTGGCTTGTTTTGGCCCAAATTGGGTCTCATTAAAGTGAGGCTGAACGTGGGTATTACAAGTGCTCATGCAGGAAAGTGAAAGGAAACGTTTGACAGTTATGTGCCAATATGTATTTACTCATGCATTAGGGTTGTACGAAACTTACAAAAACATTAATTAAGATACAAATAATGTAATTAATTTTAAAAAGTTAAAAAGACGATGCTGGCACACTTTTTGTTGTGGAAATTTTTGAAAATTTATTATATAATCAGTGTGACGAGCTGTTTCGCTTTAGTCATGTTCGTTTGTTTGCTGTCTGTATATACGCGAATTAGTCCTTAAGTTTTTAAGACAAATGAAATCGATTTGGGATTTTTTATATACCCTTGTCTCCTCCGGCCCATACGAACTGGCCGATCAAAGTCAAGAAAAAGATAATTTAATACCTTTTATCCTATCAGAAAATGACGTGCGAAGGTTATTACAGTTCTTTTGTGTTTTAATTTAAAAAAAAAAAAAATAGTATTTCAGTACCACCATAATATATTCATATGCTCACTTTACATCCACAACTATTTCTTAGCGTTGCCACTTTCACCGTTTATCTTTCACATACCAATACTTTAACATATACATACACATAAATACTTTCAATAAAACTCCACCAATGGAGCGTCTTTTTTTCATCATCAACTTACGTCCTCTCCACTTTTCCGTCGCATAACCCAATTTCGTATATGATTTCATTCTCAGGCTGCCGAATATTTACATTTTTTCTTTGCTTTTTAAAAGTTTACTTTCTTTGCCGTTGTCCGATGTGGTGCTTGTTGACAGCAATCATTTACCTGCCGGCAGCTGACTTAACTTGTTTGTATGTAGCGTATTGACATTTGCACGTGTTTGTTGTAAGGTGTTCACATTAAATATAAATATGACGGTAATATTTGTACAGAAAGGCAGGCAGGGAGTTCGGTGGAAATTAAAACTTGTTTTTAATTGCTGAAGTTGTTGTTATGGCATGATGATTGAACATATTTTGGTGTCGCTGCGGCGTTTATATTTGATAGGGAAATTTTGTAATTTCCAGGGATTATTTGGTGAGTAATTTTATGAAATTTTTAATTAGTAATTAAACCTCTTTGGTCTTACTTGTATACGTAAAAAATTTAAAGTGTGCTTAAGGGTCAGAGTTTTGGGTAAAAAGGTAGTAGGTAGCAGATATTTATTTATTTGCTCGCCAAAAATTGAAGAAATATGATAAAAATAATTTTCCCAATAATGTGAAGCGTTCTATGTAAAACAAACTACATTCGGAGCGTAGAATGAGATTGCGAAGAATAAAGCTTACATTTTAATGTCTCAATGATTGTGAACTGTAGGTATGGTTTATTAAATGTGCAAAGCTGAATGCACACATCAATGGTTTTGTAATGAGTAAGCGTGAAAAAAATTTATATTTTTTGAAGAAGTGAGAACCGACCTCTGATGTCGCTTCCCTTCAAACTGACCAGCATATATCAGCTACAAGGACAGTACACATAAAACAAAGATCCTATCATAAAACAGCAATCTAACAACTCACATTTGTTAAGCGTTCGAAGCAACATGATTCGCTTTTACGACTAATTCTCTGCCTGGGAACTTGAACCATATACAAATATACAGCAACATTACAGCTTGTAAACTTTTGTGGATGACTGTTGTGTGGACATTTTCGAAAAAGTACTTGTATTTTTTTAAACTTATTTTTTATTTTAAGCGTATTTCAGACGGTGTTTAAGCTGCTCTTCTATATATAATATATATTAGCTGTAGTTAATTTTAATCTTTTCTATAACTTATTTTTGAAAAAACTTTCTTAAATATGCTCCTATCAAAACCGCCAAGAATTTCTAATACAAAATTTTATCATTTCCACTAGCAAGTATTCCACTATAAAACATACATATAGTTCTCTATTCCAAAAAAAAAAAATATATATATATGTAACATATATACTCGTATACACATACAGTTGTTTACAGACTTTTCTTACGCATTAGATTTCCTTCATAATTTATTGCAATTACAAGTCTACTTATTTATAACTTTTTAAAGATTTTTATTTCTTCTGCCCGTCCAGCGACCGACCACCACATGGGAGCACAGTTGGATGCCCAGCACAGCGACAAAGCATTGGATGCGACGGCTAGAGGTTGCCGGTTGCCATTCCAATCTGAATATTTTCATTTATTTGCAATTAAATATATCTTTCACACAGTATTTCATTTAACGCTGTACACAAATCAATTAAAAACGTTTAAACAGATCGTGAATGCGATACGTCAATCAGAAAAAGTTGCCAAATTGTGATATTGTGTAGAAAATAAAAAAAAATAATGGGGGCACAAATAGACGGCAATGAATAGGAGGCTTATATAGACGCTTATATTAATCATATATATGTGTATATACATATATGTAAATGTGTATATTTATGAATATATATTAATTTTGATTTAATTGTGCAGTCAAGAATGTCTAATAATGCCACTGATGGCATTTATGAAACTATACAAGTGTGCAATTAGCACTTCATACATACATACATATACATATATATATTTTTATCGCTTTATAACATATGTATTTTTGGCTATGGCAAGTTCAATACTCGCAAAACTCTCCACACATGCCGATATTCTTAAGACATACAAGAAAACAAAACAAGCAAACTAATTGTGTAGTTGACCTTGCTATTTTTGAGTTCTAACATCTGTGTTTCTTAAAATATGTAACGCTACAGACTTTGCTTTCCATTTTTGACATTGATTAAGGATTCTCCAAAGAAAATATATATTTATAAATTTGCGGCTAAACCTAACAGATTGGAAATATAAATAAAAGCGAAGACTTTTTAACTAAAACAACAAAAAAATTTAAAAAAAAAATTTTTTTTCGGGGCAGCCGCATCCTTTATAGGTACATTTCTATAAGATAAATTGGTATTAAGAGATCGTTATATTGATTTTGATCGGTTAGTTTGATTGACAGCTATATGTTAAAATAGTACGGTATAAACTATCTGCTGCGAGATTGTAGCGGTATCTTGAACAATAATTCATACCAATTCTCCTGAAGTTATCTTCTCAAATAACACAGTTTGCCTTACAAGAACTTCGCTTTGAACGGTCAGTGTGTATAGCAGCTATGTATATGCAATTGTAGTCCGATATTAGTGATTCCAATAAATGAACAGCTTCTTGGGAAGAAAAAGACGATATCTGTAAAACTGAGAGACTAGTTTACGTACATACAAACAAACGGACAGACCGGTGTATAAATTGATTCAGCTGGTCACGCTAATCTTTTATATACCATATACACTTTATATGATCTCTGACGTGCCCTTCTGGTTGTTACATACTTCTTGGCACCCGGTTCAAAGCAGAAATATGGCTTACTCGCTCATTTATATTTTCGAGCATTTCAAGAAAGTTTATTAACTACGAGTGGAATTCACTTACAGTTAACATTATCAGGTCCTCTAAAAAATTATATGTAAAAGATGCTTTTAAAAATGTGTGTGATTTCCTAGAAGGATAGCTAACATAGCAGCTGTTAAAGTAAAAATATGTATGTGTTTCATATTTCTGTTCACTATAACTTCTCAAAATACTAAGTTAAGACTTGCGCTTGAGCAACATATAAAAATCGTGTAAATTTATATCCAAAACTCACATTTTACCCGGCCAGCTTACTATTTATATTTAAGTTATTTAGACATAAGTTGGAGACAACATTACCTTCAATTGCAAGTGCTAAAGGTAAAAGTTTTGCGACAGTCTAGTTCTCTACAATAATAAAAGTCGTCAAATCGTTAAGTGGTTTCAAAAAGACACCGAAACAAGGCATGTACCGAATGATTTCCAGTCACTTTGTTGCGACAAACTTTAGGTGATCGAATCATGTCGAAAAATTGATCCTTTTGGCATGTGGTTCTATGCTGAGGCATAGCAGTGATCTATGCTGATATACCAAATACGACAACTAACTACACAAGGATAGTCGGGAGGTTCCGGTACAAAGTTTCGGTTGGAAATTAAAGTTCAAAACAGAGGCACATACAGGGGGGAGGAGTTCAACACCCAAAAACGCAGATTTTACTTAAAATTCAAAAGACTTTACCAAGTAACATCAATATTAAATATGTTGAAAGAAGTTATTAAGGGGTCAACTTTGTATCGTTATGTGCTTTTTTATACGATAAGAAGCCTCTGAGACTACTTAGATTACTGCGGTAATATGTTTTGGATATGTCTCAAATTAATTTTAACTTTTGAACAATGCGGGGTAAGAATTTTTAATTTTTGAAAAAAATATTCGAGTGAGCAAAGGGTTTTTTTGTTTCCAAAGAAGAAATAAGATAAATTTCTTACCCTCAAGTTGCTGTACTTTTTAAAAATTAATAAAAAATAAAAACTGAATTCTATATAATAATATAAATTGATATACTGGTATTTGTTGTAATTTATATCAACAAATTTGAACAGCACTTTGTCTTATTTATACAAAGCCACAGAAAGAAGTGAAATAAACTGGACCGTACCAGCAAACAACAGCAGGAACAGCAAGAGAAACAAGCTGCAATCAATGCAATAAAATGAAATGCTGACCTAGTGAAGAAGAGCTGCAATAGTATTGCCACAAAAGTACTCGTGAAAAGTGGCGATAATAATAAAGCAGAACCGACAGCGAATAATGGTGAGTAATCTCTTTGCTATGCAAATAGCTACATTTGTTTACGAATATTTATTGACATAAATCGCCGGCAGTTCGTATTTTAATAATAGTGACAATATTTACCCCAGCACAAATGCAACTTTACTTATAATTAATTCAATTACTATTTATGAATAAATAAATAATAAATATCAAGTACGGCAAATGATGGTACTCACCTTATAGAAAGCCTTGCGAAAGTTATCGGAGAGAAAGGCATACAGCAACGGATTGATGCAGGAGCTCATGTAGGCCAACGTTTGGGCGATGACTTGCAGCAAAAGTTTGAATTTCGTGTTTGAATGATAGATACCGAGCGTTTTCAGCAGCAAAATCAGCTGATTGAGAACACATGAAATGAGAGATAAAAGCGTATAATGATAATGAGCGGCGACCAAAGGCGAGTGCGTGAGTGTGTGGAGGCGAGTGGAAATAAATAAAAATATTTAAATTGGAGTGCAATGTAAATAGGCGAACGCATTTCAAAGTGGATTAATGGGGAATTATAATGAAATAAAGGACATTTAATGAATTGGTTGGCCAGCAATCAGCCGGCTATGATTGTATTTGTTTACTCGCATATTATTATGAGAGGATATATATAAATTTGTTTTTATATGCATATATATATAAAATTTTCGTTTTTACAAAAAATTGTCCATACAAACCAGAATAGCGACCTGATTAATTAAAATATGGCAGTATTTAAATGTGTGATTGGCTTTGAACCGAAAATAACGATAAAAATTTGAGATATTTTATTGATATCAAGTCAGCATTTTTTGCTGAAATTGGATAAAGTCGGTTCAATACTTCCTTTATCACCAATATACCCAATAAGGTTATTTGCAACATTCGATTACTCGATAAATTTTCGTGCATATTTATCGATAACCGTATGTATCGATAAATATGTACGATACTAGATCGAAATTATGAAGTTTAGTTTCAGAAATTAATTGAATCAGTCTAGACTAGTTTCCGATTTTCTGGTTGAGTCAGAAATCCTAACTTTCCTCTTATCCCAATATAATGAATTTCAGTTCAGATTTAATATATGTATATATTTTGGTAAGCTGAAAATAAATTATTTTAGTCCCTAGATGAAGCTGGAATCAAGTTGTTACCAAAACTGCTATCTACTCCGCCATTTGTTTCGAAATAACTGTATATTATTGGAATAAAAAAATCATCAGCTAGATGTCCCGTTAACCACTTGCCTCGCTTTCTCCGCTACAAAACCTTACAGACAGTCTTGGGATTGCTTAACTAAGCATTGTTTGGATACCCATCAAATATGGACACTAGTAAGTAAAGATATGCTATATTTTAAAGTTTATTTCGATAAAGGCAAAAACGCAAGCGAAGCGGCTGAAATTTGAATAATGTTTATGGTACTGATATTGTAGTAGTTAATAATACGCAAATTCGGTTTCGTCGATTCCATTCCGGTAATTTTGATGTCTAATAGCAAAAAGATTCTGATTCTCCTATATTTTATTTTTAATTTTTCTAGGAGGAATATTAGTATTATTCATCTATGTAACTTCATTAGCTTCAAATGAAATATTTTCTTTATCCATAAAATTAACAACTCTTTGTATCACTATTATAACAGGCCTTACATTTATTTCTCTATTTATTGATAAACTCTCTACACTTCCTTTTATCCAAAACTTAGAAATAAATACTTACTTTAACACTAATTTATTTACACCTGAAAATTCATTAAATCTACACAAATTATATAATTTCCCAACAAACCTGCTCTGGCAGGCCAATTATCGTTAATATCGAAAAAATAATGGAAATCGTCCAATCCGACCATCATGTAAGCGTATTTTTCGAATTGCATATGAGCTAAGCATGGTGCAGAATTACACTTGGTACCATTTAAACAAGATTGGAGATAAAAAGCAGCTCGAAGTATGGGTGCCACACAAGTTAACGCAGCAAACCTTATGAACCGAATTTCTATCAGCGAATTGCTGCTAAATAGTCGAAAGGTTTAACCAAATCTGCAGCGCGTGGTTACTGGTGATAAGAAGTGAGTCACTTAAGTGGATAACGTCAAGCGAAAAGGGGCATGGACGAATCGCGGTGAGCAGGTGAAAACGGTGGTCAAGCCAAGATTGACGGTGAGGAAGGTTTTGCTATGTGTTTGGTATGATTAGGGTATCATCTACTATGAGCTCCTTCCCTACGACCAATTCCAACGGAAAACCATTCGAATCTGTATTGTGCCTGTCTATGGCGAATAATTTCGCTGGTGAAAAATACAACTCAAGAGAAGCGTCTAAAAATCGATTGTCCCAGTGCCTGTATGGATGTGGAATGAATATTATGAAAAACGAAAAAAACGGTGACTATTTCATCTAAATCGCATAATTCTAGCTAAGCTAAATAAAACCTTCAATCCAGTGCAAAAATAAGAAATCTCTTTTAACTAGACCTATATATATATATATATAAGATTAATGGCATAGATTTTTTTAAACTAATATATTTCCATTCCACAACTCTAGTATACGTTGCACTTGGATTCACTTGTTTAGGGAATGGTACCAATATATTTTATAATTTACTTACATTTAATTTTATTTTAGCAGAAATATTGAACCATTTCTAGAGCTCAGCAAATAAACTGTTTTATTTCTGTTCCTGAACTTAGACCTGATGGATTGCTAATTCTCTATGGGAAAAGCTCAGATTATTTTGTGTTCTTCAAAATTTATTTGTTTATATGGTTAACCGAAATACAGCCGCAAGTGTCAAAATGTTAATATTAAAAGTGCCAATTTACAATTAGTTACAATTGGAAGACCCTGTAAATACGGCTCTGCATATCGTTATTCTTGCAAACACAACAGTGTAGCCGAAATAATTTTACTATTTACTTATAGATATATTTTCGCTAAAATTAATATTAAATTTTGAACAAAAACAAAGCTCTGCAAAAGCTTCGACGAGAGCATAAAGTCAGTGAGCCATGCAAAATGCATGAGACCATATATTTATATTTTTATATATAGTGTGTAAATTTGCACACAAGCGAATAAATTATGCTCGCAGCGTAGCATTAGTTATACTAACCTGTACTGGCAACCATAGCGATGCAAATGCCACAACCACAACCACAACGAGACGTGTGACACGCTTGCGACCACGTTGCGATTTCACTGACATCTGTACGCCGCTCCCTTGGTGCCACAGACGCATAATCATCCGTACATAGAGGCCACTAATTGCCATGAGCGGCAGCAGATATGAACAGGCGAAGAACATCAGCTGATAGCTGGTTTGGCTGACGATCAAATTATCCTCGTAGAATGTACAAAATGCATAGGTGACATTTGGAAACGGTTCCAGTTTCTGGCGAGTTGTGTAAATAAGAGACAAATTGTGAATGTTATTAAATTTTGATTTAGTTTGCTATCGATAATATACATAAATATAGAAGTAAAAAGATTTAATGAATTATTTTTCCATACTAGGGTTGTACTAAAAGCGTCTAATTGTACCCAGAAATAGTTGGTTGATGTTATGGGTTATGAGAAATTGTGTGAAAGATGTGTCATATTAGATTCGACAACTCAATTTATTACATTCTCTTCTATTTATTATGTCTTAAAAGCTCTTGACGTATGTTCTACTTGAGGCTTTCAAGAGTAGAAGCTGAAGCGTCGTGTCTAAATGAAACTTTACAAAGCTAGATTTTTAATCGAAAATAATCGCATATTTTTTTTGCGCTGAGAATTTTGAAATCTGAAGTAGTACAGTAGTATGAAGTTGAGAAAGTTTTTTAATTCGAAGATAATTTTGTGTTATAAGAATTAGATAATTTAAAAGCAAGTGCTTAGATTCAAGTTAGAAAAGGGTTGCCAACCAACATTTTTTTATCGTACAGAATAAGGAATAATAGAAAGAAAGAAAAAACGAAGTAGTGTTATTTTAGAATTATTATTCTTTCTTTACTTTATAATGCTGCCACGCGTTTGCAAAGATAAAATAATAACTATATGGCAGCATTACCAAATATAAAATATTAATTATTTCGTCGCCATAATATATATGATGTTATATGTTATATTTTGCTTGCAAACGTTTTGAATTTATTTATAACCAAAATATACTCGTATGTATATTCCCACTTTTGTCCAAATAGTTTTCTGCGCACCCTAGCAAATATATATAAATAAACACATCAAATACATATTTGAGTAATAATAAAATTATATATATAAAATTTCCATTTCGGTATAAGCGTTTGAAATCGCATTGCCGCATTGAATTTCGCACATTTATTGCCCAACTTTTAAATAAATTACTCATACGCCATGGCAACACACGAATTAACTATACGCGCGCACACATACACACAGATATTTATAGTAAACAAAGCTGCGGCGCATCGAAATTAATATAGTGGCCACTGATTATGTGTCGAAATTTGAAATTAATATGATTTAATGAGTTATTCAGTGTAGGCCGCTGATATATTACCGCAGAGTTGACTTAAATAATGCACATAAATGACAAGCGCTTGAGGCAAATATATAATGAGGTAAATACATATATATTTATCTGAGTGCTTGACTTAATATGATTGTATATATGGTTGTTTATAGGCTTTTTGAGTTTTTATTTAATTATAATATTTTAAAGTTTAAAAAATGCTTTTCGAAAATTTTTAATTTTTTAATAATTTTAAATTAAATTTTAAATTTATTTGTATTTTGTATATACAATATATTGTAATTAACAAAAAAAATTTCTAAAAATTTCAATAACACTTTATTAGAGATTGATTATAGCTACCATAAAAACTTTAAAATATTTTGAAAAATGTTTCTCACATACACATTTTTTGGCTTTATTTCCATTTATTCAATTTCAAAGATCAAAAAAGTAAAAAATGAATACGTAAACAGCTTGTTTAATTTTAATTTAATTAGAGTTTTGTCCAAATTAGATTTCTGTCGATATTTCAAATATTTAGCATTTTTACGTTAAGCTTACACATATAAGTACATGCCTTTATGTATATATGTATGTACAAATGTATGTTGCATTAAATATGTTGGCAGTGAAGTAAAATAATTTGTTTTTTCCGAATTATTTAAATTTTATAATTACGAAAGCGAACAATCATTAAAAGCTTTTGTGGAAATTTTAAAATAGAAATACGTGCTAATAAAATAAATAGTCAATCTTGGCAAGCTTTCGAGATTGATGATTTCATACACCAAACAGAATCGATTGGAGAAGAAACATTGTAATAATCGACTAAAATATCGATATATTTTATTTTATCGATAAAAATAAAAACTTATAAACAAATCCTTATTACTATATTACAACACTCACAATAAGATTTATCACTGCTTTCGACACCAAACCGCATATTTCAACCAATTTTCACTATTTATTATAAGTTAATGGCTGTAAATGGTTATAACGACTTGCAAGTCCGAAAAATTGTGCTTTTTTGTAAATTTTTTATTTTTTTTGCAGAAGCATTTTGTTAAAAAAATTAATAAAAATAATATACCCTAACAGAAATTAATACACTTTAAAAATCGGGAAAGTATTTAACAAATTGTGTATTCCCTTTATGTCGTAGCCGATGTTTATGATGACCTCCGTAAAAAGGTGCCTGGCGGTGTAGAAGATTTGTCTCTTTAATTTATATGAAATCCAAAAATTCAAAAACCATTTATTATTATGATAGATAATCACAGGTAATGATCGAAGGACAAGTCAGAGTTTTGATTTTTGGCTCTTCAAAAAAGTCGTTTTTTGTGAAGGAATTTACGTTTCAGTGTGGTTTAAAAATCGAAATTTTTATCTAAAACTAAATATATCTAAAAATGTGTTCAAAGAGTTCATGTCGACCGATCTAACCGTTTCGGAGAAGTTTTTCTCAGCGACTCTGAAAACAGTTGCGTTTAAACTTAAAAGTTGATAGAACCCCTTAAGAAGAGTCGACGTAATAAGCAAATACTGCGTAAACGTATAAATATTACAACAAAAATTGTGAATTTCTATATTATAGTGTTCCAAAATATCGATAAGATTCCGCGAAATTCATCGATATGTCAAAAATATCGATATATTATGTATAAAGAACACATTTAATTAAATCGAAATTTTTCGATATATCAAAAAATATCGATATACTATATATTAAGAACTCATTTAAACACAAGGCTTAAACGTTCGATGTATCGGTCATATATAAAAAGCTAACAAAAAATTTAGCTTATGTAAAAAATAGCTATGTTTGTCGCCTTACCAACATATCGATTCATAAAAATAAAAGTTATGTCGGTAATCGGTTTAGTTACACATAGCGATATATTTTTAATATTAACCTATGTTGTTCCAATAAGCTGCCCAAAACTTTATACGACTATGAAATCGGTACGAAAAATTTATATCGGCATTCTCGAGTTTTAGATATAATGTATATCGATCAATTATGTAGATACATAAAAATTCAATTTATATCAATAGTCGATATACTTACACATATCGATAAAAAAAAATTAAAAACACCGTTACATTTCCACTATCTTCACTTCAATAATCTAAATTTGATCAATCATATGCATTCTACGAATTTTTGATTTATTATTTTAAATTTTTTTCGGATATATCGTCGATTTAAGTTCATTTAATAATTTAACAAGCAGTCCAAAAATGTTAAAAGCAAATGCTAAGACTGATACCAAAATTATTAAATTCTGTACTTTGTTTGCATCTTGATGAATTTCCACGAATATTTTTAACTAAAATGCACACAAATTTATCTTTATTTGTGCTTCGTCTTCCTCTAAATATACACTTACTTTATGGATGAGCAAATATTTAGGCGTGTAATGTGAAATGTTTACAAATAAATATTTATGGGCCATACAAAACACCTTCGCTCCACGCACCAAACACACATACGTACTATGTACATACATGTATAACTGTGTGTGTGAGTTCATGTAAATACAATGTTTAGTTTTAGGTACCCTGTGGGAAGAAGTGTGCTTGTCAGCCAAATTTTTTTGCTTGACAAATAATTTTTAGGTAAGCAGCAACAGTTTGAGTTGAACGGGTAACGGGTTCGCATCACCTGGCTTACCTTTAAAAATAATTAAAAAATTCAAAAAAAATGTATTGTATTAATGTTAATAAAATATAATTTTGTATATGGTAGTTTTTCCACGTTCCCTGCTGGAATTTTGACTACTTTGAACTAGTTCGGAATAATATAAAGAGTGTGAGGTAAATGTCATTTGACAATTATTTCTTTCTTACGTTAAAAATAGAAAAGAGCATGAACAAGAATTTATAATGGTACGGACTATTTGAGTGCGTTATTTCCTACTGAGTGTCTTCATATGCACGTTACACTTTTATGGCGCATGCAGTCGATAATTTACATGCATATATCTTTTAGATTTATATCCACGTCGATATATGTAAATATGTAAACTTACGTATTTTCTTCATTCGTTTTGGAAATACTTGGCAATAAACGTCTGCAGTTGATGCATTTTAATTATTGGACGAAATAGTGTTGTGCAGATTTGGCACATTATCAAACACACTTTTATGGCAAAGTGACGGCACACAAATAATCCCCTGCTACCACCTTTAGGAGTTAGAAAAATTAATTACGTATAAACGCACATATCCAAATATGTATGTATATCACATATAAAAATATAAGTATATGACACGCATGTATATATGTACATACGGGTATGTATATGCCTTGTATAATATTAGGCATACATATTGTTCACACCTGACAAGTCATAAAATCAAATATGCCTTTGAGTGCTTGCGAGTGAGTGAAGTTATTAATTTTATATATATAATATTTTTTTGACCGTAATATTTTTAGACCATATTATCGATGGATGGTCGCATTCGGGTCGTTTTCAAACTGTGTACAAATCAAGTAAGATCTTTCAAAAAGAGCAACTCTGAAAAAAGTGTTGCGAAATTGCAAACCGCACCTCGGTTAGTTGAGTAAGAATCAAATAAAATATCGCATGCTGTGTACACCAGCTCTTAACATCTGAAATTAATAAATATTATAATATAAGTATGAAACTAAACAGGTTTTAGAGACAATTCTGGGACGTATTTCCATTTGTTCTAAAAGTTTCATTTAAATAAATTTTTAAGATAAGTGCAATTCTATAATATTGATATCAAACTATTTGAGAAATCGTTGTGTGAGTAGAAATATTTTTAATAGCGGCAACAGTTTTTGTAGCTTGCTTCGCTTAATATAGTCATTTCTCAAATCAAAAAATTTTATGAAATTTATGCCTTGTCTCATTATTTTTCTTATATCTGAGCTTAGGTCATATTTCGAAATTATTGTGAAACATCATGTACTGGTCCAGAAAATTTTCATTCGATATTGCAATTCACATTTAGGTTAAGTGACTCGTCGCTGATACGTCTGTATCTGTTTTCTCATATGATTCCACAAAATTTAATTATCCATAAAATCACTTGAAATGAGAAGGAAAAGTGTTTCCTCGAAAGGAACTGCGATGCAACAATGTTTGCATGAACTAAACGGCGGAATGCCGCGTGGAAAGAGCTTCGTTGTGAAAGTGCCTCGATATCCAACGAGACCAATGAATTAATATTTCAAGATCCGTTATTTAGTAAGCATTATAAAAAACTAAAAAATATGCATGTTCAAGTACATATACTAATAAATAAATGTAAATGTGCCTATGTAACATAAAAAAATATTTATTTGAATTTTCCTTCCAACCAAGTAAGTATATTGCAGCATTTATTGCTTATCATTGACTATCTAATTGTCCACAAATCGTTTTGTTGTAACCCATCCGAAAATAGATATGGTCATTGCTTGTTGTAATCAGCTCACGAAGCGCGCTGATTTGAATACCATGAACAATTAACAATATATATATATTTTTGCTGATTAGTCGTAAGCGATAAGCTACAGTTTCAATTGTTTCGAACAATTTTTGTTTTTGTCTCTGGGGCGGTAAATCAATAACAAAACAAATGTTTATCTCTCGATATGTATGAGACGCAATGACAATGTATCATGCAAGAACTTTGGTTATCTAGGTCGTCATATTATTCTACAAACTGTACTTATGAGAAAAATCATATTTAACACATTTAATAATATTGTTTCACTCGGTTACTAAATATCTTCCCTTTATACTTGTTTTGTATGTACCTCGTATGTAATTTCAACAATTCCGGTCAATTGGCACTACATGATAGACGGTAGGGTGCCAGCCGGCAATTCCACTGTCATTTATTTCAAGTTAATTTTGTGTAATTATTATTTATGCATATATCGTAATGGTGGGATTATTACGAGCAAATTGAATATGCTTTTGGAATAAGTATTTTGTGCTTTTGAGCAATAAGAAAAGGCTGGTGAGCAGAAAATTTTTATTATGAAGTTAAGTGAATGTGCAGTGTGTTCCTAATTCAGTAATGAATTTATTGTGATACTTCAAATGTTCTTTTCTCCTTTTCTTTTGAAATATAACAAATATCCTAAGAACAAATCACGAAAACTTTGATATATTAGATACACTTGTTCCAACTTCGAAAAGAAAATTTCGGAAGAACTAATTATTAAATTTTGAAACTCTAAAACTAAATTAAAACATACGGAGATATTTTTTCGAAGGAAAAGTCGTACTCTAAAAGATTCTCAAAAATTTAGCGAGCTTTTCATGTAAACATGCTCAGTATTATATACTAAACTAGAATCTACTGAAACTCTTACCCTAAATTTCTATCTGATTGTCGAACTTTAAGATTTTTCGGAAAGGTCTAAATACAGGTCATATGATGTACAGTCGCGTGTTATATTAATCGATGCTTAAATTTCAAGGATGTCCAAGTGACTACTCATAAGTCATATGACATGACGAGATGATTTCAAAGTCAGACATAAGAAAAGTTAAAATTTTATTTTCAAAATACTGGACCTTTGCAACTTTTTAACATATGACATATAAGAGTAACCGTAAAATGCTATCATTAAATAGAGGAAAAGTGTGGGTCCATATTTTTGTGGACTTATTAACTTATTAATATGATGTGTTCAATCACAATTCGGAATTCGCCATTTTAAAATGTCATAATCTGTAATTTTATACGCTGTTTACCACGTACATGAAACTATATTTATTTGATAGTGATGATTATTATTCATTTATGAATATTGGCTCATATGATGTTATGCATAATCATATGAAATCGTTGAGAAACTTTTGTATTATTCTCAGATGCATGATTTTCAAATTCGATAGTTTCAGAATTTTGACATCGAATGACCTCCACGTAGCAGTGGTTTACACTATTAGACTACTTCTTGGGGTTATTTGAAGTCATTGGTCTTTAGTTAACCGACTCTTTCAAGCCTTAGAAGTCATTATTGAAGGGCTATTCTTGACATATGACTTGATTGAAACATTTTGGAAAATTGGGTTCATCGAATTCGTTTCTGCAAAAAAGTCGTAAACTATTTGAATGATGTTATATGAGACAAATAAAAACTTAGAATTTCATAAGAATTAGTGTTTTTGTTGTTTAAAAAGTCATATCCTATATTGGAAACCCTTTACAAATAATCGTTTACTGTAGTCTAGAATTTAGTCAGACGTCGCTTAAGAGCTGTATCGTTTATTTCTTTAGTTAAGAGATTCTGTAATATATAAATACATATATTATTGGTCGCAATTATATATTATAAAGGATAAAAATTGTTGTTTGAAAACTTAGTTTAGAAAGCAAAAGAAGCCGCTAATGAAGCACACCAAAATTTTAGCCTAATCTTGGTCCATGCGATTTTTACATTAGAATCACAAACTCCATTAGGAAGTTGGAAATTGATGGAGAGCCACCAATCCATTGGCTTTTACAATGTAGAAATGGCGGACTTTAAATGCTAATAAAAGTTTAAAATTACTATAATATTTTAGGTTTAACTTTCTGGACCGAATCAAAACAGAAATTTGATTGATAAAGTAAAAACTATAACTGATCTAAAATATATTAAAAAAATTTGAAAATCTGAACAAAGTTTCTTCTTGAAGATTTGTCAAAGATACCTAAATTTTTCTAAATAAACACACTATTTTTAACAAAATTACACACAAATTAATTTTCGCTTTCATACAAAATGATCCAATAAAATTCTCCGCCATTTGAGCTTTCAACGCTCGCCATCCAGGCGTTCGTAATAAAATTCATCTGTGAAGAGTATAAACATCTTGTAAATCTTGAATTTTTCAATGGAATTGCTGCATTCAAAATTTCGCTAAAACGAAAAGCAACCAACTAGGCAAGATGCAAAAATAAATACAGAGATATTGGTTAATCGGATGGTGGTGATGGACTCATTATGTAGGTTGCTTGGCTGAACTACTGATGTTTAAAATAATTTCGAGACTCTTGACCGATTGATGAACTGATGATGAAAGACTGTCTAACTTCCTTGACTAATGTGGGGTGAGACTCTTCCCGCCCTGTTGTTGGAGCTAAGCTTTTGTGCCATTTAGCTGTTGCATTGGCTGGCGGAGATGAGTGAGTTGATTAAGGATATAATGAAGAAATGTGTTGTTTGCGTGCGGATCAAATTAAAATCAAAGCACATACTCCTAAGTTAAATGCTTGGTGTTGTGCTTGTGTTGCTATAGTAACCCACACACATACACATGTATTGTGAGTCGTTAAAATGCTCTGTTGTTTTAGCGCTTGGAAGATTTGCCAAAAGTGTTTTATTTCATTTAATTATTTTCCAATTTAATTTGCCATATGAAAAACTAAACAAAAGGTGTTGAAAGATGGCCAATCATACATTAGAAACGTTCAGAAGAGGTAGATATTTAGGTTGTATGCACATATGCATATATATTTGCATGCTGCTGCTAATGATGAATGATTAATCGTTGTCGTTGATGATTTTAAATTTTCCATAAATTAAATTCGATTTATAGAGTTACACTCGAAATTGCGCATTATTACTATAGGGTTATTTTGTTGTGTTTCGAGTAATTTACGAAATTAATTTCAGTTTAAGTGCAAAAGTTTTGCATTATTTAAAATCGTAGAATGTCATTCAAAGTAATTAATTTAGCTTATCGCTTATTAATATAAGCGAAATTAGCTTTAATACTTTATAAATACTATTTTGAAATGTTTTAGTGTTCTCGATTATCTTTATGCCATAACGAGCAAGTATCATACCCTTGGTGGCATGAATGTACAAGGAAGACTTCAATTGAGGAGTTCAATTTGTGGTTTCTAAATTAACTCAATCTTATATTTTGACATAGCATAGAAGTATGTTAAAGTTATTTAAGATGCACAATGAATGCACGATGTAAATTAAAACAAAATTGCTTTTGTTTTCAAATTTTCTTAGATTATCCTTTTCAAACCACATAATAAGTTCGAAATCGATATCTCAATTAGTTTTTGAGTTACAGCCTTCAAAGTCAACCGCTCAATTCAGTGACCTCCATCAGTTTATTGGCTATTTTAAAACATTTTATTCAAAACTCATTTCCAATTTGCTTGAGTGATTACTTGGTGACATAGTCCGAACACTATTAAATTTTCTGCATGCTCTGTCTTAGTCCTACATATTGACGCAAATGAGGCCAAAAACCACGAAAATTTAGAGTAAAACTACTTTTAAACTCATTTTACAATTTTAATATTTTTCGACCGCAGTCATTGTAAGGACACTGTACCTTCTAGTAGATACTTTTCTTCTAAACTTTTTCACTTTTCAAACTTAATCGCCACTTTCACATTTTTATTCTCGTCACTTCCGTTAAACCATGAACCAACGGCACCGGAATTTGTCAAAATGATCACCCACAGTGTTACAATTGCAATCTTCGTCACCTTCTCGGTGCGCAATTGTCGTGACGTATCGGATGTACAACGGCTAAAACGATCGACCGACATCAACAAACGTGTAAATGCTTGCGAATGCAGTAACAACAATCAAATATTGCACCGTTCGACACCACATATCACCGAAGGCCAATACTCGGTTATATTCGTTTGCGGTGAATGGTATGCGAAAACGACGAAGAGCAGATCGCAACACTAAATTGACAATCAACAGTTGTAGTGGAATCATTTGTTGATTGAAGAGTACGACGATTATGACGAGGTATTGCCGAAAAAGCCCGACATGCGAATGCCAAACAAAGGGTAAATTTGCACTGTGCGTAGTTCGGATAATTCATCGATTTCCTCGTATTGTTCGAATTCAGGTTTGGTGAGACTTTGTGTGGTGGCATTTAGTAATCCGTTGTAATTTGTACCTCTAACATTTTGTGTTGTTGTTATGATTTGCGTAATGTAGTGGTGTTGGTAGAAGTTATGTTATTATGTAGTTCGTTGTTGTTGTTTATGTTTGATTTTTTTAAATTGAGCTTAGATTCATTGCTAATCCTGTGAAATTCATGTTTCAACTTTTGTTATTCTTGTTAGTGCTTTGTCGATAAAGGTATTTTATGCTATGCGATATTTTTTGCTGAGCTCTTTTAAATTAAAATTCAGTTTATCTTATACTTTAAAGAATATATTTTTATGATTTTAGCTTTTAAACAATAAGGTTTTAAAATTTTATTGAAAACTGTAAAATTAAAAATTAAATTAGAATACCGTTCTCCTCTTTTGTTTTATTTATTAATTATAACTTAACAATTTTAATTAGTTTAATTTATTTAATTGTTTTATTTAATATTTTCTGTTATTTATTTTAATTTCATTTCGTTTCATTTATTTTGATATAATTTTATTAAATTGTTGTCTTAATTTAGTTGTATTTCATTTCATTTATTTTACTTTTATTAAATGTCATATTTTTTAATTTAATATAATTTTATTTTACTTATTTAATTTAATTTAATTTTTATTATTTAAATTTTTAACTATATTAATTTTAATTTTTTTAATTTATTATTTTTAATTTTATTTTGTTTTAATTTATATTGTTTCATTTAAATTTTATTGTTTATTTTAATTTAACTATAGTTAATATTATTTAGTTTATTTAATATAACTTTATTAAATTTTATATTATTTTATATTATTTTAATTTTAATTTAATGTTTATTATTTTATTTATTAAATTGCAATTTAGTTTAATTTAATTAATTTTTAAATTATTATTTTTATTTAATTTAGTTTTATTATTTTTAATTTAATTATATTTTATTTTAATTTAGTTAATTTAAGTTTTATTTAATTATGTTCTATTTTAATTCAGTTTATTTAATATAATTTATTTAATTTAGTTTTATTAAATTATTATTTTTTATTTATTTTATTTTATTTTTATTATTTTTTTATTTTATTATTAGTTTTAATTATTTTATTTAATTTATTTAATTTAATTTTAATTAATTTATTTTATAATTTAATTTTATAATTATTATTATTTATTTTATTTAATTTATTTATTTTATTTTATTATTTTTTTTTAATTTATATTTAATTTAATTTTTTTCTTAATATAATTTTATTTTATTTTATTGTTTCATTTCATTATATTTTTAAAGGTTTTATTTTTCTATAGCTTCTTTCGTTTCTATTTAAACACTCCAATCATATAGTTTTAAATCCAAAATTTGTTACCACAAACACTTCTTAAGTAACGCAAATACAAGTTTGCGCCCTGCTCACTCATGCAAATTTACAATTATTTAACGTCACTCATACGCACCGTGCTCGTTCCTAGTAATTCAGTTAGTTAGCGTTACCGCAACAATACCGTCCTAACGCTTTGCATATCGCAAATGAATTAACACATTTTGCATAGAAATCGACTATTTTGCGAGCACGAGCATAGTTGAGTGAAATAAGACATACCTCGCGCCACTACAAACACACACGTACATACACATACACTCATACCACGATGATCCTCAAATGACTCACTCGACGTTTTGTTATCCTCAGTTAGACACACTGACGACGGCGGCGAGTTTATCTTCCTTGACATTGAAAGTGTTGCTCATTTTCATGCGCTTAATAAACCGAAATAACAATATCCAATTAACGCACACCAAGCACACCTATATATACCTATACAAATATAATATAAAATATATATATATATCATTATCTATATACATATATAACAACCGTTGAAAGGTGAGCGAATGAGGTGTGAATAAATTGCGACGCCTAGCAACAGGAAAATTCAATTAAATTGATAAAGCGCATAAAATGCACACAGGATCATACACACGCGCGGCATGTGTGTTAAAACCAATTCATAAAAGTAGTTTTGTTTACCATTTGTGATACAATACACACTATTCACATATACATACAAAATGATATGTACGTTTGTGTTCTTCACTGTATTATTGCTAAAACATCTCAACAATGTCAATGCATTGTCCTTTGAAAATCCCGTTAATAAAATAGAATTGTATAGTAAAGTCAATGACATCAAGATATCAAGTCGATTCAGCAAATACGCAAATCCTACAAACACACAGACACACGCATACAAGCATACAAGTAGTAATCAAAGCAAGTAATTCACTTTCGAGACGAATTTCTAATTCTGTTATATGAGATCGGCGTTATGAATATGAAGCTAGAAAAATGGAGAAATGATTGTTAGAAATAATAATGTATGGTTTGTGAAACAAAGCAACAAATAAGTGAGAAATTGTTGCATGTAGTGACTACGTCTGGAACAGTTTAATATGGTATATGTATGCTAGTGAAAGCCCGATGAGAGTATTAACTAATTTGTGATCAAATAGAATAGTAGTAGTTAATAGATACTAGTTAATATTTAAAATAATAAAAACTTACTTCGTTGCACCAAACCATCTTATCCTTCACAAATATAAAGTTTCTATAAAAATTTTATCGGTCGGTTGTATGAGCTCTATATTGTATGTATCTATATAATCCGATCTAAACAATTTTCGGTGATATCACCATTGCTTAAATATCACCCATCCTAAATTTATTCAAGAATCGAATTTCGAATAAAAATCTTCCTACAAGCACTGATACCGATCGTTCCACTTGTATGGCTCTAATTAATCATGACTATCATTTCAATAATAATGAGTAAGACTTTACAGTTCGTTAGATCATAAGGTTTATATTTGAGTTATATACGTGTGTAGATTTATTAAATGATGTACAAAGATAAAATACTTTTACCATCGCGTATACGCAATGGATCCTCCAAGATCGTCTGATTCCAAAGCCATGCTCCGCAATTTCGTTTGTTCTTGTTGTCACTGCAACTTTTAACCATCTCCGTTACGTTGTAGTGGTTGTAAAGCAAAATTTATAATATTCTGAAAATGTGTCTTCACTGTAAATCCTACACACTAACGCAGCCAAAAGTCACTTTTTATTGAATGAGCTTCTATATTGCCCATTTTATTCTAGTATGAAAGCGACAATTTATATTTACATATATCATTTCGAAACACCCATTTTGTGATTGCAACAGTTGAAAAGATCAACACTCTATGCTAAATTGCATATATGTTTGAATAGGGATTAATTGCATTGCTCTTATATTATTTAACGCCACGCTGTAATCAATGCTCATAAGTATGTATATACAAGCGTATGCATATATGCATGTATGTACAACTGTGCCGAATCTATTATTACATTATGCGTTTAAAAAATCTCCAACGTGTATGCATATTTACTCATATATAGATTACATATATACGAGGGCAGTCCGATAACTAATTAGCTTGCTATACCAGTCCATAGCCCAACTGTCTCCAGATACACGTGCTGTATTTCTTAGCAAAATATAAACATATTTTAATCGAAAGGTGATTTTATTCCTGTTTTTGATTGGTGACCATGTAAAGTCAGTCAACGCGAAGGTAAATCGATTTTTAATCTATCGCAAGCCCGTGCTCTGAATACGGCTACTACGAAAGATCATGTGATCAGAATCTACAGTCTCTAGTTCACAAACCCTGTTCATGATCCGCGAGTTTTCTTTGTTGGTAGGCATCTCAAAAGGCCGCATGGAACATATTCGCACGAAATATTGAGCATGAGAAAATTGTCAGCGGGGTGGCTATCACGTTCACAACGGTTTCATTATTCAAAATTTTCGTTTTTTTGGTAGGTGAAGTACTTGTTGGACCACCCTCGTATGTGTAGAGATGCTTTAGGACGGGTGTAGTTCACTACTGAATAGCAGAAATAGCAATATTAATATCGATAACTCAACAGCCTATGTGTAATAACCAATATCAAATATCAAATTTGCAATATGCAATATCCAATATACGATATCCAATATCCAGCATCAAATATCCAACACCAATATAATCGTTACAGTTACTTTTCGGAAAGTTGAAGTGAACGACATTTAGTGACACAGAATTGCGATTAGAAGGACTCTGATCTAGGCATATTACCCTAAAGCTACATTATGGGGCATCGTTCTATTTCAGAACGTAAGCCATAGAGAAGAGTTAAGTATATATTACGAAACAGCCGGACTTTCAAAAAATCTTCAAGCAAATTTTTTTTCGTCTCTATTTTACTTTTACTTCTCAAGACACAGATAGTCGAGAAGGTACAAAAAAAAATTTAGGCGGAAAGCAGCCTGCCCTAAAACGCATACCATATATGTGTACTTATATAATATACTATATAATATAAGTATATACTATATAAGTAAATACGCTTGCGTTTGTCTATAGCTGTTGCTAAACAAGGCTAGCTAGTCAGAAGAAACGAAACTGAAGCCAATCTTTTCAAATGTCAACAGACAAGTGGCGTCACAATACTCGGCGACAACAACCAGAAGAACACCACAGATGAAACCACGAGGCTATGGAGGCGCGCACAGTGCACGAATCAAGGCAAGACAGATGCGCGGGCGGCTGGCTAAAACGATAAAGATTATAATGCTGGTAACGGCAGCCAAACTTCAAGCCAAAAATAGGGCGACATATTGTCACCACAACACTGAAGGCAGAAGCGAAATCAACAACAGCCGAACAAGCGAGCAAACGAGTGACCAGGCATACGAATGCAAGTAGCGAATTTATATTTTACACACGTTGCACAAGAAAAAAGCAATGCAAGCGTTTCTTAGCCGGTACACTATCGAATTTTCCCACACACTGAACGCCCTCAGCACAAGACTAGGAGACAAAAATATTTGTTTACTTCGCGCTACCGGCAGGTGTTGACGTTTGCTTTCGCTTTCTTTTTTTGTTTATACCGTTGGAATTTTCTGGAAAAAGATTTCGACACAAACAATTCGACTTTCGATACGATTTTCGAGTTCAAACTGCACACGTTCATCTCCAGCGCA